CCCCTTCACCCCCCCCCCTTTCCCAGAGAGTCTATAGTGTGGATAGTCTCTTGAGGGGCGAATATTGATCTCAGTTGTTTCCTGTTCAAGTTATGTTTCCATTTCAGTTGTTCAAGGCGCCCGCGTCGGCATCTTATTATGCGATCACTTTTTTTTTAATGAATCACTTTTTATTATTTTGAAAAAGCTTAAGGAAAATATACTGCAAATCATGAATGAAAGAAGTTACGAAGGGAAATATCAACAACAACAACAAAGAAAACTGCAAAAATTTAAGTAGGAAAGTTAAAAACTTTCCTACTCATGGGAAAGAGGACATAAAGACTTATTGTATCCATTTTTATCTGAAATGTACTAAAAGCGATAACCCCTTGGTGGTTTGCATACCCCCCCCCCCCTCTCCCTTCCCTCCCTCCCTCATGCGACGGTCTTTGCAATGTTAATCCTGTCCACTCCTTCTTGTATGTCGAATTCGATAATTCTCAATAGCTAGGGTATACCCGTACAACAAAAAAAAAAGAAAAAGAAAAAATAAATAATAGCCAAAGTCAAACCCCATTGGAGCCATTAGGGGTCCCTCTAGAACCTTTTGTCGATTATCTTTTCGTCTTTTGCTCCGAATGTCCAAAGGGTACGCGGTGTTTCCCTATATCAAGCAGCCGAGGGTGACGGTGATCAATGAGGCCCTCATCCGCAGCTGCATCTACCTCACCCCCACCATCTCCACCGAGGAGGATCGCATACGTGTCGTCAACAACAGCGAAGAGAAGGTGTTGAAGGACAAAATGAAGCACCACGTCGAGACGATGGATTTGTACGACATCACGACTCTGCTGCTGTCCTTTCGGCATATCGGGCGGATTGAGAACCTCTACGGGTTTGGCAACCTGACCAAACTCAGCCTGGACAACAACCACATCCAGAAGATCGAGAACCTCGACCACCTGACCGGGCTGCGCAGCCTGAACCTGAGCTACAACGCGATCCGCGTGATCGAAGGGCTGGACTCGCTGGTCCGGCTGGAGAACCTTTCCCTGTTTGCGAACCAGATCGAGGCCCTCAGCGGGCTCGATCGGCTGGCCGCGCTTACGACGCTGAGCCTGGGGAAGAACGCCCTGGCGAACCTCGACGCCACCCTGCACTACCTGCACGGCTGCCGCCGGCTAAAAGTCCTGACGCTTCGGCAGAACCCGATCGAGTCCGTCCTCCGCTACCGCGCGCGGCTGCTGGCCTTTGTCCAAACCCTGCGCTTTTTCGACGGCGCCTTGGTGAGCCCGGCGGAGAAGGCCAAGGCCTGCGAGGAGGAGCGCGAGAATCTGCTCGCCATCGACGAAAACGACGAGGCCGTCCTCGCCGCCGGGAAGGCCCGGCAGGACGAGCAGCGAAGCCGCGAGGTCTACCGCGGCTATAACTGCCCCGACGACACCAAACTCTTCGAGGAGCTTTTGGCCCTGCAGCCGGATGGCTATAACCTGTCCGAGCTCCTCCGCTCCGAGGTGGTGATCTCGTTTTCGAAGGACACCCTTGAGCGCTATCAAAACGAGTTCAACGAGAAGGCCAAGGAGCTGACGGAGGCGATGCGCGCGGTGCGCGATCGCCGGGCCGCTGCGGAGGATTCGACCCGCAAGGCCTTCCGCGGCTACAACGACAAGGTCGCCACCGCATCGCGTGCGTTAATTAAGAAATTCGAGCGGCGCGTGAAGGAGGCGGTCCGGCTCAAAGAACTCGAGCCCGAGGGGGCCGAGAACGTCGAGGCCAACGACTACGAAGAGGATCTCGCGAGGCTGAAGAAGGAATTACTGATGAGGGAGGCCGAGCAGTATGACCTGTTTGAGTCCCTGATTAACAACACCATCGCCAAGTGGCGGGCCGAAAACGCGGATATCATCTTGCAGACCGCCTTTGAGAATTTCGCCAAGCTGGAGGGTGATTTTCAGGCTTCGCTGCGGCAGGTTTTTGATTTCATGTCGGAGCAGATTCAAAAGCGCGACAAGATGGAAGATTTTTACACCCCTAGCCGTTTAGACGAGGGACTGTTTGTGTTATTAAATAGCAAGGAAGAGTACCAAAAGGTCATTAATGAGTGGTTTGACCTCCGACGAAAGCGCCTGGAGGAGCTCGAATTATTCCACCTCAAGGTTGAGGAAAACTTCTTGAATACCAAAGCGGACGAGATCATATCCACTGAGCGTGATCGCCATCGGAATTGTGTTTGCGAGATTGCCGAATTTGTTGATCGGATGTCGGATCAGATCCTCACGTCTAATTTGAAGTGATGGGATCCATGCCTTCTCTACCCCCCC